CTCTTGCATGTTCTGGTTTGGTGAACACAACAATTTCCTGTGCATCCGAAATAAGGTGTGCTGTGGTTTTGAGTTAAACATGGGTGGTTGAGGGCTTTTTTCAAACTCTGCTAGGTCAGAGTTATTCTTAGCTTCATAACTCGTGGCACAGTGGTTAAAACGCTGTACTGCAGGGTTTTGTTTGTTTGTTTTATCCCACCTTAAAAAAGGATCCACGTGGCTGATGTAATTAAAAACACAATACTAATACCTAAAACCAATAAATTATTCAAGTATTAAAGAAGAATTAATAGTGTTATATGAAAATGTTGCATAAAAGCACTACAAACAATCCACCCTAGATTTAGAAGCAATAAGATGTATAAACCATTCTGTTTATTGCTTCCTATGGAGTCAGTCACTCAGGGAAAGCCTGCTGGAAGAGACGGAAGGTCTCCTGCTTGAGGAAGGTCAGGAAAGACATATAAACCGTTCTGTTTATTGCTTCCTATGGAGTCAATCACTCAGGGAAAGCCTGCTGGAAGAGACGGAATGTCTCCTGCTTGCGGAAGGTCAGGAAAGACGGAGGGTCTCCTGCTTGAGGAAGGTCAGGAAAGACGTAGCCAGGCTGGCCTCCAGTGGGAAGGAGTTCCAGAGTCTGGGAGCAGCCACAGAGAAGGTCCTCTCCTGGGTCCCCACCCTAAGCGCCTGTGAGAGGGTACTGTGACCAAGAGAAAGGCCTCCTCCATAAAAGGAGATGAAGTCCATTAAATAGCTCAGGCCCCACCTTTTTAGAGCTCTATAGGTTAGAACCATCACTTTGAATTCTGCCCGGGAACAGACTGGCAGCCGGTGGAATTGCTTTAACAGGAGTGTTTTGTGATCCCTGTTGTGTCCAGCCTCAATCAGCAATCTGGCTGCTGCGTTTTGGACCCGCTGGAGTTTCCATAGGCAGCCCCACGTAGAGCGGGTTGAAGTAATCCCATCAGGAATCAGCCCCACGTAGAGCGTGTTCAAGTAATCCCACCGGGATGTAACTAAGGCATGTGTCACCAGGGCCGGATCAGACCAGGAAGAGACACAGCAGTCTCTGGCCCTTGCACTCTGGCCCCCACCATAGAGAACGGATGGTGCTCAAACAGGAGTTTGCAGCCTTGCAACTCTTGATGTTCTGCTGTTGACACCGGCTGTCTCCCGCATTACCTCCTTTATTTACGCCTCTGAAATGTTCCTTTTTTTGGACTATTAACTCCCAGAATTCCCTGGTAGCTGGGCCAATGGCTAGCCCCGGTCTCACTGCCAATCACACTGGGATTGGGGGGGGGCAGGAAGCAAGCCCCAGACAGAGCAGAAACAGACTAAGCAGAGCTGAAGCCACGTGACTGTGCAGGGAGGTGGCTGAGGCAGTCAGCCGTGGAGTGGGAAGGGGCTTGTAAGGCCATCGAGTCCACACACACACCCACACCCTGCTCAATTCAGGAATCTTAATCAAAGCAGATTGGACAGACGTTTGCCCGATTTACTCCAGAAGGCCTCCAGCATTGGAGCGCTCATCACCTCCCAAGGCAGTGAGTTGCATTGTCGTACCACTCTAACAGTTAAGAAGTTTTTCTTGATGTTCAGCTGATCTGGATAATCCTGGAGGGATGAGAATCGTAGCCTGCGACACCCAACCTTCAGTTGGGCCTCCAGGGTAGGTAGCTCAGCTTTGTCTTGGTGTGACCGTAGGATCGCAGGAACCTTGGCTATGGGGTGGGTCGTTATTTCGTTACAGTTAGCTTACTTTGCTTAAGGCAGAGAAGAGATGGGGGACCAGTTAGGCAAAAGGAGGGGGGAGGCTGCAGAGTTGAGCCAGGCGGCTTCTGGGCAGAGAGAGTCGAACAGTCTAAGAAGGAAGAGCCCGACTCACAGACAGCAGCCGTTGAGAGCGAAGCCAGAATAGTGACCTTAGACAGGTGGTGTTAAAATTAAAAGAGACTGTTGGGAACAGTTAATGCCAAATAGACAAATGGTCTTTGCACAGATCAACAAAGTAAGCTACTGCTGCGTTGTCCCCTAGTGTCTAAATAAGTTTATTTAAATGGCAAGGCATGTAGCCTTTGCCCAAAAAATGATGGAGGGCTTTTTAAGGGAATGATCTGCCCTAGGGCTTAAACAGAAAAACAGGGATGTGTGCACCTCGTAAAATCTGAACAGGAGGCAAGGGAGGTGAGGGAATTTGACCTCAAACTTGCATGAAGTGGCTCAAAGTCCCTTTGTTCAGAGATTGAAAGCTTTACTGCCTTCAGGCAGTAGAATAAGAGAAAGAGAACGGCATACAATTTAAAGGTTAAAATATTTAGAAGAAGAAGTAGAACATAGTTTGTAGGGTTCAGATGCAAAACACGGAGAGATGCAGCTTAAATTATGGCAAGGTAGTGTGGTAACTAGGGGATGTGGTGGCGCCGCCGGTTAAACCGCAGAAGCCTCTGCTGCAGGGTCAGAAGACCAGCCGTCGTAAGATCGAATCCACGCGACAGAGTGAGCTCCCGTCGCTTGTCCCAGCTCCTGCCAACCTAGCAGCTCGAAAGCATGTAAAATGCAAGTAGATAAATAGGGTCTACCTCGGTGGGAAGGTCACGGCGATCTGGGTCTAAGTCGCGCTGGCCACGTGACCACGGAAACTGTCTTCGGACAAATGCTGGCTCTACGGCTTGGAGACGGGGATGAGCACCGCGCCCTAGAGTCGGACACGATTGGACTAAATGTCAAGGGGAACCTTTACTTTTACCTGTGTGGTAACTGGTTGATGAGGAAATGGTTTTTAGAGTAAGCACTTTTGCTAAATGTAGAACAAATCAGAACTGTAAGTCAGTCGCTGAACATTGGGATCTGCAACTATTTTTAAACAGATGTGATAGAGGTTCTGGTGTCATTGAAAACCCGGATTAACATCTAAGCCTGTCGTGAGAAACGAGATGTCTGGTGTACTTCACAGCCCTCGTTGTGCCGGAGGACAAGGGTGGCATTGCTACCTTAAGGTGGCCTTTGTCCCTCAGTTACTCACAGCAGCTTGGGGGAAATGGGGAGGACGGGGTACGTTCCTCTTTTGAGTTAACCAAGGAACAAACGGGGGCCCTGTGAAATTGACCCCGGGGACTTATTTGTAGCATCTGTTCCAACTTGATTTCAGGTGCAGTGCAATTGGATTGCCCTTTCCGTCTGGGTGCAAGTGGGTTCTAAGCTCAAATTGGAGAGTTATGGCCTCACCCTCTCTCCTTCCAGCAGGACTGATCTGCAAACTGGAGGTCACATTCAGACGTGTTTTGAAGTGCCTTCCCCTTTAGAAAGGGTGCTAGCAGAGGATGATGGATGGGCCCTCCCCGTCTGCACCAACGTGGTCTCTGATACCTTGGTGTTCGAGTGGGTGTCAGCGTACGGAGACACTAAGAGCGTGGCTGAGCCGGTGGCAGCAGGATGCTGGGGAAGGCCAAGCTGAGGAGGCAGCTGGTGGTGGAGGCTGGCAGAGCGAGGAAGAGGAGGCAGCTGGCGGAGCGTTGGCATGGCTTGGGCATGTGGGGGAGGTGGGCAGCGAGGGTCCTGATTAGAGGCGTGTGAGCAACGCCGCTGCCAGGAAGGCAAAGGCCTCCTCATGGCGGGTAGGGCTGCCCTGTGGAATTGTGCTGTGGACGCCTTTGTTAGGGTCTGCAGAGAGAGAGAGCAAGGGGCAGCCGCTGGAGAGGCTCATAGAACCAGGGGGCAGGTGGGTGGGCAGCTGCCCCCGAGGAAGTGACAGCCTGGATTGATGGGCAAGCAGGCGTACCGTGCTCAGCAGCACAACGCAAGGAGGAAGGTGATGGTGGTGGGGGCTGGCACGGAGGCGTCGTCAGGGTTGGCTGGACACCCGTGGCCCATTTCGCCCTGCACTGGGGCTCCCACTCCGTTGGCACCACCTCTCTGTTCTCCACCCGGCGGAGCGTCCCGACAGCTACAGCGGGGTACTGTCAGCGGTCGAAAAGCCTCTTTTGCTGGGTGATAGTGATTTATGGGGTCCAAGAGAAGAGCAGCTAGTGGGCCAGGGACGGCTGATGGTAGCCGTGGTCCTCCGTGGATTCTAACCTCTAGCATCTCCTGCGGCTGAGTGTCATCCTGGCAGGGCAGGGCAGGCCTCCTTTTACACCATGGGCCCCATCCCCTGGCCCCAGAACTGCTCACCCTCTGCGGTGGTTTTAAGGACGGACGTAAAGGAAAGGAGAAATAGAACGGGTGCCTCCAAATTGGCTTCATGAGGCCGTCGTTAAAACTGCGGTCACGACTCTGCTCACGGCTGGAGTTTCATCCCACTGGGCTCAGGTTAGCTGGCTCACGGTGGACTCAGTCTCAGGCAAAAGGCCAGCTTAGCCTAACGGTTCCGTCTCCTTTGTTGCAAAGTCACCGTTACTGAGTTCGAGTCCCGTGGGGCCTGTCTGGCCTTTCTCAAAGATGCTATCCATGTATTTATTCATTGATCAGTTCTAAAATGTAGTTTTCAGCCTTTCTCGGTATCACTGCCATCCTTCCAAGGTTGGTAAACTGAGTACCCAGCTTACGGGGGGAGGTGTGGGTGCGGGAGGTAATTATAGACCCTGCATAATTAAAAATTGTGAACTGCCCAGAGAGTGCTTTAGGTGCTATGGAACAGTGTAGAAGTAGCATATGCTTTGGTTTTTTTGTGGCATGTTTACAGGTAAGGAGTTTTGGACTACGACTCCCAGAATTCCCAAAGCACCAGGGGTTTTGGGGAATTGTACTCTAAAACCCTCTATATTGCCAAAAAGAAAAGTGTCTGAGGCACAGCCTCTTTGTGGATAGCCACTGCACAGGTGAGTTTGCCACACCTGAACGCCAGCCATCGAAACCCGAGGTCTTGGGTCGTTCCCTCCTCCGGATGCCGCCTCCTGGTTCCCGGGGTCCTTTTGGCCTCTCATGGTGTTTGTTCATCTGTTTCATTGCCGCAGCCAGCCTGGAGAAGGAAGAGGCTGGTTCTTTTCAGTATTCCTACAGGTGACCTCGATTTCCTTTTTTCCTTTAGGGATGTTGGAAGACGGAAAAAAATTTGACTCCTCCCGCGACAGGAACAAGCCATTCAAGTTTGTGATGGGCAAGCAGGAAGTCATTCGTGGCTGGGAAGAAGGGGTCGCCCAGGTGCGTGGACGTGCGTGTCGGGTGGCTGTGGACATTCCCTGGGGTCAATAGTGGCTCCCCTTTTCCGAGACCTGCACCGAAGCGCTGGTGGCTGAATGGCGGTGGGCCGTGGGGGGTACCTTTGGGCTGGGCAGGCTTGTTCACACCACTTGGTCCCAAGACCTTGATGTCTCGTCTGTCCAAAGAAGGAGGAGCGCAGGTGGTGCAAAAACCACTCACCTTCCTTATTCTTTGGAGCATTAATCATGACGGTGTGTTTGTTTTCACAAAGGGCCATGAACATGGTTTATTTATTTATTTGATTTATACCCCGCCCATCTGGCCTAAAAGGCCACTCTAGGTGGTTTGACTCACTTGTGATGTTGGGGGCCTAACGGTATCGCAATAGGATACAGGTCAAAAATGCTGCGGGGAGGCCACCGTTTGTTCCACGTTGCTTATGGCAACCGGTTCAAGAAGTGTTTGCAATCAAGGAAATTGGCCAGACGCCCTTTCGGGTTTGTGCCAGGCTTTCATAAGGTGGCAAGGTTGATGGGCAAGTTGCTGCCTGGCCCACCTCACCTGGCGCCCAGATCCGCTCAGGTGCCTGCCTGATGGTGTGGTCAAAATGTACCCTGGAACCTTGGAGGGTTAGCGTGACACGTTACACAAACATCCAAGAACACCAGTAGGATTCCAGCCTCCGCCTGTGAACAGCTTTGCTTTGAAGGACTTCGGCTCGTTGCTGTGGTAGGCAGGAGGGGAAGAGTCCATCGCCTGGTTTTAATTTCTTTGGCTACAATACGCTTCTCCCTTCAACAACGCTGCGGTGAGGGGTGCTGGACCCCCGTGTAGTTTAAAACCCATGTATAAGGCTCATGCCCCTCTCAGATGTACAGTGGAGCCTCGCTTAACGATTGCCTCGTTTAGCGATTAATTCGCATAACGATGTGTTTTTTTAAGAAAATAATATGCACCGTATAACGATGTTTCCTATGGGCGATTTTCGCTTAGCGAAGTTTGGGACCATGCTTCGCATAACGAATGCGATTTTAGGTCCCCTGCTTCACTTAACGATGTTTTTTTTTTCAATTAAAAAAGTGTCTTAGAAGGGTCAAAAACGGTTCTAAATGCTTGGATTCGTTAGAGGACCCCCTAAGTCATGTGCAAACCTGATTTGGCTTTGATCTGACTTTTCGTTAATTTATGGTTAATTTTTTTTTCCGGCCCATAGGAACCAATGGACCTGTCAAAATCTGACAGCTCCATGCTTTCCTATGGGGGAGAAAACAATTCGCCATAAATTAACGAAAGTTCAGATCAAAGCCAAAT